CCCCCACCCTCCAACAAACAACTACATCTGGACAGGCGGTGTTGTTCATGAATATATAATCACATATCATCGCCGTACCGAGACAAGTTGTCAGAGGCAGCCCGTCGCTGTCTGTCACGCAGCTTCAGCAGAACCAGCACAATGATGCAAACGCAGAGCAGCAAGGAGGCTGCCTCTGGGTGTTAAAAGACCGTTTTATTTTATTTTGTCTTTTAAAGCAAGATTTCTATTATTACAATGCAACTGAAAGTGTCTGAAAGACGAGTGCATTCAGAATCGTCGTCATCTGATGCTGATAAATTACGCATTCGGTTCACTTCGTAGAGAGATACAAGCCAAAGGAATTGGGAAAGAAATGTAACTTTTTAGACCAAATTTTTTTTAGAAAATTAGGTTTGTTTTTATACAGAATTTGTCATTTAGCACCAAGTCGGAATTTTTTTTTTTGTGGATGGCCTCCCTTCTACCATCCTCTCCACACCATTATGTTTTTTTTTTTTTTTTTTTTTTTTTTTGTGAAGAGAAAATAGAGAGAGAGAGAAAAACAGAGAGAGAAGTAATTAGAAAGATAGAAAGACTGAAATAGCGGAGTATATTAAATATACACCAACAAAAAACAGGACCACACACCCAACATCTGTCCGCTCACCTGAAAAATAAATGGATAAATACATAGAGGGCATATATAAAAATATACACATACGCATACATTTATAAAGATATACATACATACAAGCCTACATTCATAAATATTGTCCGTATATACACATAGACATATGTACACACTCAGTGACCAGTCAGAACCCCCCAAATCAGAGCACCTGTTTGTGAGCAGTTGTGAACATGCGTGTACATACAAGATTTCTCCAATAGAATTTTTAATAGTGACTGTGGAGGACCGAGACCCAACCCCCAAGACACGAGGCAGACATAGGGAAGACCAGAGCCCAAGGGCCCGAGAGGAATCCCGAGTGCAGAGCCCCAAGGGGCACCCGCACGGGAAGATCCGCCCACCCACCCCCCAGATCAGACCATAGGGGAGAACTGGGAGAGTCCCCCCAGCGACCACACGCACAGCCCCCGAGGCCATCAGCGACTCATGGGCCCCACCGGCACCCGCCATACCATAGCAGATCCAGGAAAGGGCACAGAGGTCAGGGCCCCCAGGACGCACCCCGTCCAGGCCAAAGCCCGAAAGGCCCAGAGGACCCGAGCCCCAACAGGCAGTCACCAGGCCAGGCCGGCACACACCCCAGCGCCCAGCCCCAGACCCC